ACTCTTGTGTATTACTATGAAAATCAAGGTAGGTACCCTTAATTAACTATCTCAGAAGCAACAGTCTTACAGGTTACTTCAATGGTAATCTGTCCAAGGCCATATTAAATGCTCAAAGTAACTGCCCTTGCCATCAAGCATGAGCCAAGTAGGGATACAAGTAGGTCCTTGAAGGGAAGAGGCAGGTACATTCAACATGACTGATTATATGAGCCCAAACCATGACCTTCTACTAATCTCACCAACTTAAATGATTTCACTACAAGCAGGAAATGAGAACTGTTTGAACATAAATTTTTTTTTAAATTTTGATACTACCCAAACATACGTAAAGTGTTTGAGGTCATCCAGGAGAAATCTATTCCCCTCCTCATCCCCAAGGCTGGACCAAAATGACACAGAGGAGTGTTTCTTTTAAGTGAATGTCATATTCTTATGGTCACACAACCTTGTATAACTCTGGTGGCCCATTTCAGATCCATTAGCAAGATTATGTATCATTGTGGGTCAGTGTGGCCTGTGAGGATTGAGACACATCTTGTGGATTTCCATATATATTGACGCACAGCCACAGTCATGTGCAAACACAATAAAGTGCATGTGTGCTTGTAAATATTTGTGGGAAACTGCCTCTTGCACACATCCCTTTTGCGTTTGTAGTGGACTCGTGGCTATGTACTCTCATCTGTGGGTTTGGGTTTGGAGCGAGGATGTGAGGTCATCGTGGTTTGTAGCTTGCGGTGTAATTAGAGGTAACTTAAATGAAAACCGGAATGAATTCATTCAGGGAATGCCACAATGTTAATGGTCCCTTCACACCAAAGTTTTATGTTTGCCAGGAACACTGTTGTTCTGCACAAACTTTCATTGTGCATCCATTAGTGCATTTGTGATCATGACTTTGCATTCATATATTTTGTTGCATTTGACCTCAGCTCTAATGCATGTGTGGGGACTGGCCTGTTATGTAGCTGCCCTTGTAGCCCAGTTGTGTGGCTGGTGTTCAGCCCTTTTCCACCAATAAGTGTGTTTGGAACAATGGCCTAATTGGATTGTTTCCTATCCTATCCCATCCCATCCCACTAAAGGGATGTGCGGTCTGATTAAAATATATTTCTGTTCCCAAAGATAACCTGTTCACGCCCTCGCTCTCATCCAATCATCACCAGGTCCTCATTTAATCATTGCAATTGACTTAGACCTTCCATGGCAGGATTAGTGACGAGCAACACAAGTGCAAACTTGTGTGTGCACACCTATGCATCTGATTTGACGGGGTCACTTCAGGGCTTTCCTTATTGAGCTTTTGTAATAGGTCGCTTTAAATGTCTAACTTTAGCCTATAGCTTTCACAGCTGGTTGTCTGGAACAAAACACATCACAGCCTAACCTTGGCAGGCTGCTTGGGGCCTCCCCACCGATTTATTCAAACGGTTGAGTAATCAGATGATCTCCAATCATATCAGATAAAAGCTTTTCCTCTTAATGTAGTCCAACCTCATGCAATCCTTTCTCAGTATTATAGAACCTGACTTCACGGCTGTTTGTAAGTCCCAGCCTATAATTGTGTGACAGTGATTTTTAGTCTATGTAAGTTGTATTCAAGGGCAGACAGCATGCCTCTTGTTTACTTTCGAGCCAGGACACGACTGTGCGGGAGGGAATAACTGTGTGTAGTAGGATTAGGTGGGTAAGTCTCCAAGCCTAGATCTATTCCCAGAGGTCACCAGGCCAGCTCCATGACCTGACTTCTCACTTTAAAGTCTGCTCAGCTGCTTGCCAGATCAGAACTTTTGGACAGACACATACAGCGGTTTAAAGGAGGAGACAGGTTATGTGTGCTGGGATAGGATCTCTGCTCTGCCTGTGATTTGGAGACAGCATCAGTCTCATGGGTCCAGTATAGTCTGGTGTGAATCAACTATCCAATCCAGCAGACTGAAGTTCTGCGTAAGGGTCTGATGACTGAGCCAGCAGACAGACAGTGGTTTCCTTTACCTTGAAAAAAAGAAGAAGAGATTCATTTTTTCTCTTGAACATGAGTAAATACACCAACTCTTTGGCCTCATTCCTGCATCCATTTTTGAGAAAGATGCTCCTTCTCCTCCCACCTGTCCTCTGGAGACATGACTGTATCAGTTAACACAAAAAAAGTGTGAAAAAGCACAAGAGGGGAAGAGGGAGGGGCAGGATGATAAAAACAAGATAGAATAAAGATAGTCCTTGCTTTATTTCTACTTTCATCCTCCTCTAAAATGGCCTTGGTGCTTGTTATTTGCCTGAGAAGAGTAATTGCTCTGTGTGTGTCCTGTGGAGGAGGAGGAGGGGAGACTGTGTGTATGTGTGTGTGTTTAATCATCGGATTTTGTGTAAGAAAGAGGCTGGTGTATGTACAAAATGTGTGTGTATGTCTGTGAGAGTCTGCATGTGTGTGTTATAGTTGGATTTTGTGTAAGGAAAAGGGGTGTGTGTGGTTGTCTGGGCTCTAGGAGGAGATCTGGCCGACAGATTGAGAGCAGCTTGTTAGAAAGAGGAACAATGAGGCCACAGCCCCTCTCCTATCTTTTTTTTTTCTTCTTTTCCCTCCCTCCCTCTCTTCTCTTCTCCTCTCCCTTGTTCCCTTTCTTTCTTTTCACCTCTTCTTCTCCATTTTTCCATCTCCTTTTAAATGTATGTTCTCATGTCCTCTCCCTTGTTATTTTTCAACTTCCTCACTCTGTAGACTAACTACATTATCTCTCATTTCTATTTTCCATCCTTTAGTTTACCTCTTTTTATTTATTGAACATGTATTGTCTATTCAAATCTCTCACTCTGTCTTCTCTCTCCACATTCTCCTTTCATCACTTTTTTTCCTCTTCTCTTTTTTGATAATGTTCCACCTGCTGAAACACCTTTTAAAGCTCTTTCTCACACTCGATAAATCTCACGCTCACACATGCGAACATCTGTGTCTCCTAACATGTGCATGTATGGACTCTATGTGCTGTTGGCATGCCTCACTCTTGATCTGCCAGATTGAAAGAAAAGAAAAAAGCACTTTTAAACAACTTCCACATAGCATTCTTTTTGGATTTAGAGTTGAGTGATGTTGCGATTAAGTCATTCATTAAACAATCATTATAATGCATGACAGACATTGTTGATGTTAACAACAAAAACATTTTTAAATCCATATTTATGATTGCTCTGTCATACCCACATGTTATATGTTTATCATTGGAAGAGCTGTAAAGCTGAGCAGATTGTTCTTTTTCCCCTGTGTTGTCCTTACTGGTTGTGTTGTCTCAGAACTAAATGGTAGAAGGAAGAAATTATTTAAAGTACAAATCTGCACCTGTATGCACATCTCATAACTTTAAAGCAGAAATTGTTCAGAAAAAACTGTAAACAAAGATACCTATATTCCTTTTTCACATGATAAAAATGGTCGAGCAAATTGTAAAGAAACACAAAAAACAGATGAAGTCGAACAAGTGTACTGTTTGAATTGACTGTAAAGTGTTGAGAAATAACAGGTCAAACAATCCTATTTACACAGTACCTGAACAATCTTATAATCTAGATAGATTTGTAAGACTGTTTTTGTAGATGCACTTTACCGACTTGCTTTAGTCAGTTATGGGGTATTTTTTGCTGATGAGTAAAACAGTTAATTGACACCATGTGTAATTTAGCTAGCAAGATGACTTCATGAAGAAGTAAGCAGTGAGTGGATTTTATCATTAATACGATATTTGTGTGATGCTAAATCTACTGCACTAATAAAACCGGTACGTACACTGATGACAGTTTGAAGAGGATGAATGCAGATGTTTCTGACCTGTCTCATTCAGGCCACATGTCGATCTGAGACAAGATGGTGAAAGCTGACGATGTCATTTTCTCTTCTACATAATTCTATTCAATAGCATGTGAACCAATCTCTAAAAGTGATTCTTGTTCTTCTGATGGCTGGCCATATATATATATATATATATATATATATATATATATATATATATGGACCTTTTGATTACTATCAACAACATAACATGAAAACGTAGTACTAAACCATGCCATGATTCCTTTATTTGAGTGTAGGAGTCAAATTAAACCATGTCCTCCATTATTCCTCCCTCTTTCTTTAAATGTTCAATCACCTTTTTGAATCCAATCTTTTTTTTAAAGACTGTAGACTCTCACAAGCCACCATACTAAAACTCAGCTCTCTCTTGGAGGAAAATACAGTATGTTACTATCACTTAACCTCACCGTGGTACTTGACCATAGGGAGGCCTGTGAACCGGCTGCCCCGTTGGCCCCTTCACTCTGTTATTCTGACAGAGAGTCGTATAAACTGACAGACGGACAGCCCCCACCTCCCTGCTAGTCCGGCTCTCAGCCCCCTTTTGTCTGCCTGTCCTGCAGCATTACCCCTATGGTTGTAGTCTCCTAATTGCTCTGAACCCTGCAGAGATGGCAGACTAAGCATGGGTTGGGAGGGGTCTTTAGCCAAGATGGGGTCCTTTTTTCCCACATTTTTGTCCCTCCAAGCGCTCTGTCTGTTTTTATTTCTGTTTTCTACTCAGGCTTGCGATTAAACAAAGTGTGTGCGTTTGGCTCAGAAGCTCTTGCAGCTCTCCTTTTTCCCATCCAAGCCTCGGTGACCCCTTCACATCCGGCTCTGCTTGCAGTGACAGCATGTCTGAAATACACAACCCCTGACAATAGTTACACACAGGCATGCATGGAGATGCATGAGTAATGTGCATCTTAGCCTCCTGTACAATATTTACAGTCTATTCTCCTGTAGTCATTTTGTGATGCTTTATAAAGATGCAGATCAGCACATTTATTGCTTAAATTAAGCGCATTTAATGTGCCATCATCACCTCTGGTACCATAGAATAGGGGTTTTTATACAATTCGAAATGAAACCGGATGTTGTTGATTTTTTTTTTTGTCATGTCAATTATCTTCTGAGTCGAATATTAAAACTGTCTCTTTTGTCCTCTTAGGCGCCTCTTCAGCCACCTCCGGGTTCCTCCGCTTCAGTGGTGGCAGCCGCAGCAGCAGCAGCTGCAGCAGCATCGGGGGCACCTCAGTCACTGAAACTTACCTACCCAGAAACTCTGGACCGCATCAAGGAGGAGTTTCAGTTCCTACAGACCCAGTATCACAGGTGGGTTTTCATAGTGTTATTTACAGATTGTCTGCTGGTTATACTTAGAATTAAAATTGACACTTAACACTGTGTTTGAAGTCATGTTGTGGGAGATGTCTTTGTAAGGTGTGTTCCTTCAGGTAAAGGTGAGAGAGTCATATACAATCAAGAAAGGCTAGTTGAGTAAATAAATCCATAAATCTGAAGGCTTGTCAGACGCCAAAACACAGCACAGTGGTTTTTACTGCTCAGGCGGTACAAACAGTGATGATCTGTTCATGCACCATATGTACATCCTCACCATTCACCGAGTCATTTACCAGGCATGTGCACTTTTGATGTATTTTGATTGATCTGTAGGTTGCTGTAAAATGTGTGTGCATTAAGTCTTAGCAAAAGTTGGCCCATGTTCAATGTTTGCCTTCTCTTGTTGTCTCATGATGTACATGCACACACATTTACATACACACTCAATCAGTACGATAACACAAAGCTATGTGATGTTTTGACTTACTTTCTTGGCTCAGCTTACTCGACCATAGGGGTTATATTCAGGTGTCTCTTTTTTTCTAAGCATAACTGTTTGGTGGGCTTGATGTGCAGGAATGTGCACAGTCTTTGAATGTGGGATTTGGGCTGGATGTTTGGAGTCCAGGCTTCTCTTTCTCCCTCTCCCTCTCCCTCTCCCTCTCCCTCTCCCTCTCCCTCTCCCGTTTATGTTCTTGTGGCACCACTACACAGGACCCCCCCCCCCCAACACACTCTTCTCTTCTCATTCTGCTTTCATTCAGTCCGCCAAAATCTCCCCTCCCTCTATTTCTGTCCCACTTCAAACTTCTTTTGTACAGCAGCCTTGTCTGCAGCCACTCCAACCCCTGTGGCTACTGCTGCTTCCCTGAACACACAAGTTTGTGTGCGCGTGCATGTGTGTATTAATATGTCTCCAGAGGCCACCTGGGTTTGGATCACGCTTTCCTGCTGCATATACAAATCAGCCTGCGTACATAATTTACGCTTGCAATGACCAAATGTGTCATTGTTTTCACCTTTTGGGAGGGAGCATTGTTGTCAGATATCTCAACAGTGTTATCGCAGAAGATGTCACTTGAGGGGGCAAAGTGTTCACACTACCAAACCAATGTGGAGAAATGCGTCCCCATCCTCCTTCGTATGCAGCCTGAGGGCGCGGTCACACTGCTCCCGGACAAACCGAGCCTAGGCATGGTTACCTCTGGTAGGCTACATAACAGCGTAATACAGCTCATCGTCCGCACATCAGAGAACAACACGGAGAACATGACTTCTACTTTTTGTCTTTACTTTGAGTCATTTTAGTCAGATACAGACAGAACACTCCGGATTTCTTCATAATAAAGGCTGTCAACATTATTTACCCGCGTGCTTGTGCTCGTGCTCGTGCATTAACTGTACAGTGCCAAAGCACACCTCTCCTAAGCGTGCCATGGCTAAGGAAGTGCACGGTGCTCAAGCACGGCACGGACCAGTCACACCGGTCAAACAAACCGGACTTTATGGGTGAAGCGTGCTTAGGCACGTTACAGATTACCAGTGTGACGGCGCCCTGAGTGATTGGATCTCAATGAGTCCTCAGGAAACATTCGGGTATGTTCACACCTCGCTGGATATCTGTTTTTTCCATTTGGATGTATATGTGTCAGGGGTGGAGAATGAAAAACCCATGCTTATCAGTCTGGCACCAGTTTCATGTAAAATTTAAAACTTTTTTTGCAGATATCCTTTTCACCATGAATGGGATAGACTAATCAAGCCGCTCAATAATCACGAGTTACCCCTGGATCTGTTTGTAGAGACGGTGTGATCAGCTCCTCTGGCATCCGTTCAAGCTAACTCCTCATGTTACAAAATAGCTGGAGCATCGCCCTCTCACCAAGCTGTGGTACTTGGAGCCAGCTAGAAGGATAAACAATGAATGAATGATGAGATTAAGAACCTGATTGGAAGCAAGAGTGAGCTTGTGATTCCATTTTCATTTTGCCACCGCATGCTGTTTAAACAGGCCCAGATTAGGGTTCTAGGAAAGTCCTGTTTACCTTTCCTTTACCTGGATTTGCAACAGCTAACCTTGCAGGCTGGTGTAAGCATTGTATTAAACTGCTGTGTTGTTGTGCTCATGACTACAACCAAGAACTGATACTGTACCCATGGGTTAGTGTTAGTCATAATTGGAACAGTGTGATATCAGACATCTTTTCTCAAATCTGTCAAATGTCAGTTTAACCTGTCAGGTTAGTGGTTACAATGAATATGTAAATTAAACTGACTGGTGTTGCTTACTGATGATTGGTATTGTTGACACAATATGTTTTAGAAATAAAGCAATTACAACACTACTTCCTTTGATTTTGAACAAGCCACATTTGAGCATCTACTATAGAAAACTGTTGACTAGATGGACTGTCAGCATACAGCGTTACAAATAACACCGTTCAGAATCAATATGAAAATACAAAGACGTAATGTCGGCAGAGGTTTGTTATGGCGCTGTCTCGGAATCGCACTGTGAAAAGGGCTAATGATAACATTAAGCTGGAACTTGGTTAAATTGATTATATTTCAGTGTTTGTGTGTATTGCGTTAGCCACAGAGCCCTGTCATGCGTGCCGGCTTCTCATGATCTTCTACTTTCATGTCATGAAACCACCATATAGTGATAAACAGTCATCCTTTAACGTGACAAGCAGCAAAGCTAACCCACATGACTCTTTCCATAATGGGGCAACTCTAATGCCCTTTTCAGAGAGCCATTCCGCAACAGTGCCGCAAGGAAGCTCTGCCGTCATTCATGTTAATTCTGCCACAGTGTAGTATTGGTGTTCCAGTCTGTGACTTCAAATTGCGCCGCAGAGGATGCAAGCAGGAGAGAGCAGGGCATGTAAACACACAGAGGGTATTCCACACACATAGTCAGACATGCACTAGGGCTGGGTAATTAATCGACTTTCAATTTAAATTTTGGCTTCCTACGGTTCTGAAAACAAGACCATCAAAATGAAACGATTATTGTGATGCATGCCGTGTTGTGGAGTAAAAGTTTCTAAGTGTTTGTTGCTATATTTTGGCCACAAGATTCAGTCTCCACTACCTCTAAAACATTGTTAAATTATTTTTGTTTATTATTATTATATATTCTGTATTTGGATTTTTCTGACGTATTTGTTTTCATTTATTCAAAGAGTTCAGAATGTTAGTATTAATAGTGTGTAAGTTCAATAAATGCATGTAATGCAGATGTTAATGTTGCAAGAGTAAATATTTAATAATTGTGATCTCAATATCAGTTAAAAATAATCGTAATTAGGAATAATCGAGCAGCCCTAACATTCACACAAACTGTACCTATAATGCCAGCACAGAGGTGGGATCACTTCTTCCTCCCCATTACCCCCAAGACATTCATGATGAAAGCTGCATGTCACAGGGCTGATGTGTAAATATTGCACCTTGAACTGGCAGTCTGAATAAGGCCTTCAGAAGTTAGTTTCCAGATGTAAACCTAAAAAAGTGTGTTGGCGGCAGTTTTGGAAAGGTCCGCTCAGATAGCAGTCAGTGGGATTAACAGTGGCCTTGTTTAGTTGTACGGCGGACTGGCCAAGCGCTGATCACATCTGAGTTCAGGCAACTAAATGTAATCAGAGCCTCTTGTACACTATTAATGCTGCCGGGAGTACATGACCTGAACGCCCACAGAGCCAGCACCAGACACACTGACACACTCCTAAGTTGATGCATGTGCTTTACACACACTTATACACTTGTAAGTCTCCAATTATCGTCACACACAAATAGCAGTTGTCCAGAAATAGCAGGGCTTAGTCGTGTGTATTTTGTCTGCGGAGAAGGTGGCTGGATTCTGATGGATGTTGGATTAGACAGCAGGAAAGAGACGGAGGGAAGGGATTAGTGCTGCCGTGTGCATGTGTGTGTGTGTGTGTGTGTGTGTGTGTGTGTGTGTGTGTGTGTGTGTGTGTGTGTGTGTGTGTGTGTGTGGTGTGTGTGTGTGTGTGTGTGTGTGTGTGTGTGTGTGTGTGTGTGTGTGTGTGTGTGTGTGTGTGTGTGTGTGTGTGTGTGTGTGTGTGTGTGTGTGTGTGTGTGTGTAAGGATGAATGGTGGGGAGGCAGGATGCCTCTAAATATGTGTGGTCGCTTGTTGGATTTGGCGGCATGTGTGTTGGGTATGAGGGGATGAGAAAGCTTACCAAGAAAGCTAAAGAAATGGCAGGGTTAATTAATGAAAGGGTCATTGGTTGGTCAGCTGATCTGATAGTGTGTGTCTGTGTGTCTGTGTGTCTGTGTGTGTGTGTGTGTGTGTTAACTATCTAAATGGGCTGTAATCAGCAGACTGAGGGGAGATGGGAGGAGCTGCTGACACAGAGCTCTCATTACTGTAATTCTCTTTCTATAAACAGACAGACACACAGACACTGAATTATGACTGATAAATGGCTTTGTGTGTGTGTGGTGTGTGTGTGTGGGGGGGGTGTAGATCAAGAAGAGCTTGACAGTCGCTATTAACACACTGCTACTACCCCACAAACCCTGGGTATGTGTGTGTGTGTTATCTTAACACTATTTCACTGTCCCTTGACCAAATGTTGAATTTTCCTTTGGTTAAAAAGAAGAGATGGGTGCTATCGACGAGATGGGAGTCTTTGAGAGAGAACACGTTGTTTGACCGCTTTAATAAAAACCCTGAGATCAGGGAGCTCTGACATTTGAAAGTCATTAAGTCAGTACTTTCTGGGTTGAACCACAACAGCCAATGAGAGAGAGAGAGACCTAATGGTGTTTCCAAGCTGTCTAGCCCAGAAGAAGCTTCATGCATCAAACATTAGGATGTATAAAGCTTCCATATGCTAGTGCTATACTGTTAACTGTAAACTAAAAGGTAAAATCTCACCTTCAGTTCTAGCCAAAGAAAAGACAACTGTTTGTTGACTCCATCTGCACCACAATTGTCTCATAAAGACGAGAGCCTTC